AGACCACCTCCATAACTTCGTTCAGAGAATCGTTTGGCAGATTTTGAATGCAGATACGAAATCAGCGTCAAAAAATACGTCTAGCAGCATAGGTCTCATTTCAAATGGCCACTTCGACTTGGGATCCTTCCCTTGTTAGTAAAGCACGCATTGCGAGCCAACACCGCCTTGCCGATCTGGGGCGACTCAGAGTTTGAAATTCAACATTCTGTTTAGATTCCCACTCATTTTTGCTCCGTCCCTCAGTACCTCGAAATAATGTTGTCAAGATATCCCCCTCGCACTTCAGAGACAAATGAGAAAAGATTAATTAGTTGGATCAGTGATCAGCTTCGGAAGTGATCTTATGAACACTGAGAAACGCTTGTCGGCCAGCCACTGTAGCTCCACACACATCGCTCTTGGAAGGACGATGGATTGAATGACTTGAGCAATAGATTCATTCTACAGTAGTTCTCGGAGCGCGGATTTTGAGAACTTAAACCTGTCTCACAACTTGATTTTTCAAGGACGTTTCAGGTCGCAGTCATTTTATTAGAAATTTTAGGAAAAAAAATTTGGCTAAGATTCCCCATGAAGCGGTGAGGATATCAAAAGATGATTGGTGCTCAGGTCGCACTACATACATTAAATTTCATCAGCTTTCTTGAAGAATCCCTTTCTACAGTAGCCCAAGAAGTTCATCATCTATTCTACGATGTAAACAGAAAGAAAAAGCAATTTCATGCCTCACAATACTTGAGACACTCCTTAAATATTAATTGCTTTCGAAGTCAGGTTCGACGCACGTTCAGCTTCTGCAATTTTACTGATCCGATTTTGCAATACCCAGCATTCTGACTCTACAAAATCAGCACATTGGGTGATGCTCAAAAATATAACTATAATAACTGGGGCTCGATAGCAAAAAAGTTACGTCACAGTAACTTACCCCGTCATTTTTGGCTTGTAATAGGTAGTGGATGAGTTCAAGTCGACCGATTCAACTTCTTTCTTGAGGTTGAGTCACAGCACGGTAGTCATGCACTCACTTCATCGACAGGAGCGAAGCAATGAAAACCGAGTAAGTACGAAGAACAATCTATAACAAGAGCATACGCGAAATAGCGAAATTGAGCATTTGTGATCCCGAAGACGGAAAGGAAAATGAAGGAGAAAGCGACAACAACTTCAAAACAAAAAATGTACACTAGTGGAGATGTGGTATCGAAAGGTCATCAAGACCGATGCTCCAAAGTAAAAGCGTCAGCAGGAGAGAAAGCTTTATGACAATGAACATACAAAAAGACTGCTAAAAGCTGACAAAACAAAACATCAGAGAGAACATCAACAATTTGCACTGAAACAAACAGTAGGGGCTAGTTAGTACATGCTTCCATGCCTATGCATTAGCTAGCGCCGGGTGAGAGGAGGAAAATGCTTGTCTCGCTTAATTTCTTACGATGCATAACTTAAAAATGCTCGATACTGAGTTCACTGTCTTCGTAACTAGTCCATGTAAGATTGCTGCTGCTCTTCCGGCGTCAGTAACCAATAAGTTTCTAGTGCTCCTTTTCCCTAAAAACATATTATTTCAGGAGAAACAGTGCCGCAAAATTTTTGGGACGCCTCGAAACGATGAGAATAGGCATTCTCACATGGAGAAAGGCTAAGTAACGTCATCTTCGAGTAATAACTCTTCGTTAATTATTAAATCAAATGTTATTCCAACAAGATGGAAGGATTTGGGCCCGGATTCCCACTGTTGCGGGCACTCAAGCGACGAATCTTCGACACTGGCTTCGCGACTTCTGACTGCAACCAACTTTATTGTTGAGAACGTCTCGCAATCATTCAAATCTGACGTGGCGGATAGGGGAGTAAGTCGCCAACTAAAAGTCGCCAGCACTTGCCCAGAGACGAAGCTAGACTAAGGGGTGAACTCCTTGATTCTGCTGTGCTGATCCATACACCCTCTCTTTCTCGCGGATGTACCCACGCATACGTATGTGGGGAGTCTATGGGTGCAGTTGGTATCCTGCCCATGGACTCAGCAGAAGGTTAGCATTCGAGTGACTAAGAAGTATCTGGGGAGCGGTTCAAAATAAAGCTTTTCGTCCACTTCGGGACCGCCTGGGTAGCACCTGGAGTCAACTCAGCCCCTACGTTAGAGCCTGGCAAGCTACGTTGGATATCCGGTAATATTAATGGGCCTCATTCCCTCGACCTGAGGGAGCACAATACGGCACCCTTGGGTAGGACCTGTGAGGCTGCTAAAGTCTTAGGGCCAAAACAGGCCGCCCAAAAAGAGAAGGACCAGGATGGCGATCTGCACTTTCAATACACGGATGCTTCTATCGGAAGTCTGTATAGAAGAATTGATGCAAGCTAGGAATGAAGACTTCACCCGCTGCACGCTGCATTTGAGACTGGAGAAAACTGTTATTTGGAAAAACTTTTTTTGTACAACTCCACATGAGGTTTGCAATACCTTAATGGTTAACGTTTCGGTGAAACCACCTCCGTAGGAACCCAAAAGGATGGAATCAATTTATGAGATTACCCGATCAAACATCGACTGGCTCCCACTTTGGCCATTGCCTTCATGGCCAAAATAGAAGTGCCCGTGCTTGAACGTCTCCCTATGCTATATTGTCGGTACATCGACGACTGATTTTCAGTTTACTCTACGCAGGACGAGGTGGACCGCTGTTTTGTCCTACTGAATGCACAATCTGAGCGGATAAAAGTTACTCGAGAAAAGCTCCACGATGAGTAGTGCCTTTCCTGAATGTCCAAGTAGAATTGCTAAGGGTGACTATTCCACGAAGTGGTATAGAAAGCCCAGCAATAAAACATCCTTGTTCATTGGAATTCTGCAAATCCTCTCCAAACGAAACGAGCAGTGGTAAGGAGTATGATTCGAACTGCTGCAGAAGATAGCTCTGGATAGAAGGAACGAAAAGAGTCCGTAAACATAGCTCGGATTATTGCTGTGCTTAATGGCTACAAACTTCCTCCATTTCGAAAGGCCAGAGATGGTAAGGAGTCAAGCAGGACAAATGGTGATTTATTTGGTACGAAAATCCCATTTGCTGTGCCCTTCATTTCCTATGAAGTGAGCACTTCTATAAGGAAGTGTCTGAGGAGAGCGGGTCTTCAAAACATTGTTGGTATCGTCGAAAACTCTCCTGCCAATCTAAAGCGCCGTTTAGTCCGTAACCGCATGTACGGTCGCACATGTGCAACACCTAATTGTGTGCTCTGCCCTAATGGCAGAGAAGGTGACTGTAGCGCAACTGGTGTGGTCTACAAAATCACTTGTCAAAACTGTTGAGATACGTATATAGGTGAGACTGCTAGACCACTTCTTGTACGAATCAAAGAACATTCAAACGATAAGGCTAGGTCACTCCCCTCAACTGCCTTAGGTTGTCACAGGACACAAACTCATAATGGAGACGATTTCGGGGCCACGGTCGAGGTCTTGGCGCATGAGGCACAAACAGCCGCGAGGAAGACATTAGAAGCATTTTGGATCCGGGTTATGGATCGAGAAATGAACCGGAAGAGGATGCGTGTCAGTTATGCGCGAACTCACCCCCTATATAAGGCTAGTCTTTCACTGTAAATTTTGAACTCGAGACAGCCAGTCTACGTCGCTCCCTACGGCTCATCAGAAGGGTACGGGTACTTTTATCCACCTAGAATTGTATGATGATCAAGTTGGTCTCGAAGATATTGTGGGAGGTGGAGATGTTTGATCGAGTACTCTCGTAAATTGATTCCATCCTTTTAGGCTCCGACGAAGGTGGTTTCACCAAAACTTTAGCCATTAAGGTATTACAAATCTCGTGTGGAGTTGTACAAATGAAGTTTTTTCGGAAATATGCCGAGGTTCATCGAGAGCCGCACGTGGAGATTGTTACTTGGAACATGCGACAGCAGAAGCGTCGAAGGTGTAGGTGCCTTCGTCAACACGCACTTGCTTGACAGCCCGAATCCGGCATTTGCGATTAAGAAGGTGTGGCTCAACTCCAGCTCTAACAATATTTGTTGTCTTTAGAGCCCTCCAAACCCACAGAAAACGAAGTGCACAAACAACGAGCTACGACGGAGAAATGCTGGAAGCGTTTTATTTTAACTTGGAGAGGCTTTACAGAGAAGACCATACTGTCTTTAAGGTCATCGTCGGTGAATTCAACATCATGGCCCCAGGAGAATGACTGAAGAGCTCCACATAATGACTCACGGAATGGAATGGAATGAGCAGGTTGAATGGCTGTCCGAGTTTATCATGCCGACCTCGCAATTCCAAAGGCCCTCGTACTTGCGATGGGCATGGGATTCACCCGCTGAACAGTTCCATAACGAAATATACCACATCAGTCGGAGATTTTGCCTGACAGATGTCGCTGTTGTTCCGAGTTCTACACGGAATCCGACCGTCGTCTCCTCCGCGCTAGATTATGTTTCCCCGTCCGTGGAGAGAGCTATGAAGTTTAGGAAATGAAGCTCCAAGACCTGGGATGACTTCGCTTCCCTTATGAGTGAATGGGAAGATTCCGTTACCAGCGTGGAATCGCGCGAGTTGCAGGCAATCATCAACAAACGTCCGAAGTTGCGAAGCTATGCAGAGAAGCGATGAAGGAGGGTCTGAAAGAGAGAAGAGCAGCAGTTGTGGACGAGACTGTCGAGACCGGAAAGAGCATTCGCGGACCTCGGCGGAGTTTCGCCAATTACAAGACCACGATGAATTCCCTTCGTCGTCCTGACAGAACAGTTACTATAATACTTCTCAAAGGGCAACGGAGAAGGTCATCTACGACTTCTGTCCGGATCTCTTCGACAGCCACGTCTACCTGCCTAACCTCCATCTTAGGCAAGACGAATATACCGCTCCTTCGGTTCTCGTTTCCGAAATTCGACATGCCGTCATGTCGATGAAGGTGGTACGGCGCCCGGTCTCGATAGGATCAAACCAAAACATCTAAAGAGTCTTTCACCGGTGATCATCTGTTCTTTAGTTAAACTATTCACGCGATACCTGTCGGCATGCAAAGTGCCCACCTCGTGGAGGGCGCAAGACTGTGTCACTGTACAAGATGGGAATTCCGACGACATTGGCAACTATTGTCCAATCTGCCTGCTGTCTCTAGTCTACGAACTTTCCACACCCGTCATCCTAAACAGGATTGGTAGAATAGCCATGCGTGCAAGTAAGGTTTCGGAGAGAGTTCAGTACAATTTATCGTATTTGCATACTTACAATGTGATCGACGTATCGCGAGCCGTCGAGACAGGAGCGGTAATCGGAGCTCTGGGCAATCAGGTGCTCCTACTCAATATGGAAGGGTGCTTCATGAGCTCTGCACTAATTTCACGACCATGATCTCGCCATTCTGTAGAGAAGTGATCATCAACGTGAAGGGAGGAGGTCAACGAGGCAATACAATCTCGCCCAAACTGCTCAGTTTCATTCTAGAGAAAACCATGTGTCATTTGGAAAGGGAAGACCTGGAAGTGAAGGTAGACGGCCGCTACCTACATCAAATTCGCTTTGCACGACATCGGCTATTAACACTGGACATCGTGCAGGCAAAGATGCAAAGATCGGCTTGTGACTGAACTTAACGAAAACGATGTTCAAGAGAGATGAAGTGGTTCTTGATGCTGCTCTCAAGGTAGATTGCACTATTTACTTACTTACGTCAGAGTTCAAAAATAATTATAGTGGCACTACCCCAAATCAATCATCGCTTCGCATTCACGAGTACCTTCAGCACGAAGCATCTACGAACGACTCAATGTAACAGGGCAGCTGTTATATCATTCAACCATAAAGCATTTTCAAGAGTTGGGAACCACTGCAGATCGCAGTGGTGAAAATAGGAGGCCTACGGTTACGTTTGGGGATAACGTTAAGGAGGCAGGGAAAATGTCTGAGGAGTCATTTTGGGCGTAGAGGGGAGTTACTTCTGCGCACAAGTGTTCTGCACAAAATCGTGAAAAACAGGCTTTTATACAATCAGGAAGTGACTTACTGAATGAGCAGGCTTGAAAGAAAAGAAGGGTTGGCTTTCAAAAGCTGTTACTCCATTTCCAGAGAAATCGTCATAAGGAATGCCTTTTCATCGACGAAAAGATATTATAAAAGATATGAAAAAGGTGCTCACTAAGTAGAGCGACGGGAATGTAAAGTTGAAAGAAACGGAAGTGGTACAGCGTTAGGCCCACTAACTTTCTGTGATGGTCTTTGCGAGCATCACCGCCGAGGCAGAAACACCGATTAATTTTGTAAATTGAGGAATTGAGGAGTGAAAGTTGATTTGGAAATTTGTTCGATATCGCCGGAACGCCAATGAAGTTCTAACACACTCATGAGAGTTAAACACAGTGTATACGAAGGATAAACGATAAATAATGCCGAGCTTCATTGGAGCCCGTGCATGGAAATGGTTCACAAATTTCCAAAAGAGCCATAGAAGGACTCCATAATATGCGATCAGTGGCCATTAGGTGCACCCTAAATCCCATGGATATCTCAGTGAGGCAAACCTCGGAGATGAGAGCATCTGTAGCCTCGGAGATGAGAGCATCCGTAGCCCAAAGAATAACTAAAATAATCTCAAAAATGCCTTGTAAAAAGCCGAGTTCAGATCGTTGACCCTAACTGCGTAACACCGTCGACGCCGTCTATCATCGTCGCCGGTATTGGCTGTAAGCAGAGAGCAACAGATCTCAACCCCATTGTACTAATTTGATAAGAGATCAGTGTTAGACAAGGGGTTTGCTATATTGGCTTTCTGTTTGTTTTCGGGGTGGCGATAACTGTGTAACCATAATTTTGACTCCCCTGTATAGAGAGCATTCGCCAACTCCGCCCGTCAGATCAGAAGCCTCATCAATCATGAGATCAAGAAGACGTTTCTCCATCGCGCTTACGAAACAATACTCGGAGAAGCAATATACAAGGCCGTTCCTTCGATTCCTCATTTCAAACAGGTATTGCATGGCGCCCAGACTCGATACCGGGTGACCCACATGAAGTGCGACACAGAAAATTAACGTTAAGATTATGCAAATCGAAACAAATAAGAGACATTCACTTCTATACAATCATCACATAAATTGTTAACAACACATGACATCTCGCATTCAGAATGACCACCTTTCACCTTAATACAAGCATCCAACCTGTTTCGGAAATTTCAAAATGCTCGCAAACACTTCCGGCGAATATCATCCCATGCTTTTACAACAGAGCTTCTTTTCAGAGAGTTCAAAGACCTGCGTTTGAGAGCGGAGGTGTCATGCTCCAGGATCGATCATACAGCAAAATGCAAAGGTTTGAGATTGAGTAGTTTGAAGACCAAAGCCCTTTCGTCCAAAGACCCGGAATGTCGCACATCATTGCAGTGACTTCTGTACGCTAAAGGCTGGTGCCCAACCCTGCCCAACGAATCAACGCATCCTTCAGCCCAAAAGCAGATAAGCCGATATTTTATTGCCCGTCACTTATTAGTGGGTCACCCTGTATTAAATCGAAAATTTCAAGAGCCCTTCATTTCTTACAATCAAAAACCCTATATCAGCTTCTCGCGCAGTACCTGACCTGGTGCAAAGTTCTCACGCTGTGGAAAACTAGCGCGACCGTAACTACACTGTAGCAAGCCACTCAATGAAGTACATCGCGAGAATACGCTATATCGCATTCGTCCGTCCAACGGTTGTAAAAGATCGTTGATATTATGAGACAAAAACGGTAATACGTGGTCAAGTATTGGTAAGGGGCAACCACCGATTCCCTGATCAGTATAAAGGATAATTTGTGGTTACCAAAGCAAGTTCATAATCAAAACTTCACTATTCCGGTAGTGTTAAAGGAAGGAGCGTTGTTCTGCAGCGCAAGTCATCTCAGCTAAATGTTTGTGGCTTGAAATTGAACCTGATGAAGACGAACAGTGAGCTACGACATGGTAGTGATTCTCCTTTTACCTTTACCAGAACAAGTGGCTCTAGCACCCTCGTCGGAATGTCAACATGATGCATGAACTACGTTTGGAAGCCGGCGGAAGGAAACGCAAGGTATGTGGAGCACTGAAGAGCAACAAGGCAGTAATGAAGGATACATAGAACATCCAATTCTGCGCCCATCATTTCAAACTTCAAACCTTTTTCACTCGACATCCCCTGAGAGACATGAACGTTTTGTAAGCAGAATGAGCATGCAGTCAGCAGTCATTCAATGCGCTGTGGAAAGGACAATGCTCAGATGTCCGATACATGCGAGCGCAGAGGAGAGTTCGTCATTTAATTCTTCGTTGATGAACGGAGCTTGGGAGCGCGTTACTAAAACCCAAGAATCGAAGGTTTGATGGCCGGTTTCGTAATGCGTTTTGGTGATGGTCGTTCAGCAAGGAAGATAACTGACTAAATTTTTTGGAACTTCAACCGAACTCTAGGGAACGAATCAGGACGGATGCCGGCGGATGGCCAGATTCCCCGCGGAAGTCCTGAATGGAAAGGAATGCTATATCTGGTGTTCTCTGAGCGAGCAGAGTCCACCAAACCATATCAGCTCGAAATAGGGGCAAACGAATACGACACACGCTCACTATCAAAGAAATCTATGATCAATGGTACGACAGAGAGATTGGTCATGATATTTGTTTCCTCCCAATAGTTTGATTACCAGACTTATATTCTCTAGAGTGGCCAAGAACCTTTCCTCATTTATTGTGCAGATTACTGACGCCCAGATTACTGATTTGTCCAGAAGTCAGAAAAAAACTGTTTCAAAGAAGTCAATGGTTGCCACTCCTACGTTATAATGGGTTACATCTCCCACCGATGATGTCCAAGCAGGTAGAGCAAAGTGCAACTATACAAGTGCGATCAAAGTGCAACTCTTGGGAAATAAGTTGGATGGGCACCGAGCAGAACTTTGACGCTTGTTTGTGGAAGTTCGAGATTCCTTTTTCTTTGGCCGCCGAGAGAAATGCTATAGATATAAATATCTCGTCTGCGCCGGCTCAGCAAGTGCAAGTATGTGCGCGATATTTTCGTGCCCCACCAGGAGATCATGTTGAAGACGAGAAGAGATTTTTAAGTAAGCTGCAACGAATAGGGAAAGTTCGAATGTTTTGGGTTCTCCGTTGAAAATTTCCTTGCAACTCCAACAATGTGCTCGAAACGCGAGCATTGAACACGAACCTTTACTATAACTTCTCCTCTAGGCTCAGTTTTATAGTCACCACCGACAACTTTGGTCAAGAACTCCATCGTATCCGAAGAGATGTGAATTCGTCCGGCTAAAATTGTCTATTTTAGGAGTTATGAAGTGTCGTGCATGTTCAAACAGTTCGAAACTACGACTTACGCTTTCCATTGCTTTCCATTCGACTGGCCGTGTTCACAGCATCACCAAACAGACAATACCTTGGCATCGTCATTCCTACGACGCCAGTAACCACCGAGCCTAAAGGTCAATAGAACTCTATTTGGATACCCGAATGCTTCCGAGCATACCCGCCCAATCTCGTTAGATTGCCAATGTTCATTTGTAGTGATTCCGAAGGATCTCTCGCACTTCGCTCTATTTAGTATTTCGCAGGCTTGTCATCTTTTGGACGGTTACAAATCCCTCTTCAAAGAGACTTCTGACACCGCCTCGAAGATCTGTTCCTTGCACACCGCTACCCTCACTTTTTTCTTACATTTTGCTTTAATGGGCATTGAAGTGGAAGTTAGCTGGCTAAGATGGCAAGCATAACACGAAAACAAACCGAACAACGTGGAAAACGTATAAATTTTTCAATAGCGAATGTGAGCACACCTGTCGTTGCACATCCAGCTGTACCTAGGTGAGCGGAGTAAGTATTAGAGTCACGAAATGCTCACCTGTGTGCAGTCCAACTCGTATGTTGATTTTCTCCTTGAGCAGATGTGGGATTTGAAATCCACTGATTGCTTTGAGAAGTTCGAAAGACATCTCAGCTATCTCTTTGGCATGCTCGTTACCATTCCGATGTGGCAGTCCAGAAACACATAAATAACCGTCGCCAATTGTTTCCACCTATAGTAAAAATTTCACACGAACATTCCGAGATATTGCTGGAGTGCAGTTCTAATTAAAGAGCACGGCCTGAACACCGACTATGCCAACTCTTGCGGGGAGATAAGAGCCAGTCATGTCGTCAGTCAAGTCACTTCCTCTTCTACAAAATCAGTGAGTTCGTGAGTGAGTGAGCCAGTTTGCAGCGCATCGTGTTGCTTCACTGGTAATTTGAGCTCTAGTAGAATGCAAGTTACGAGAATGAGGATGTAGGTACTATGACGTTGATGACGGGAGTGCTGCCACATCAGGTTACGGTCGCACTAGTCATAGTTCTCTGCACAAAGAGTGCAAGAGGGTGGACAAAGAAAACAATCTGTCACCCTTCCTTTGGATTTCATCAGACATGTAGCGTGCCGTGGCCCGCGGGGAAGGCTCCGGAAGGAAGGCTTCTCGCCGAAAGCAAGTCGAGATGATTTGCGATAGCGTCAAAACCTCAGGCCGTTGACTTGATAGGTTGTTCTACCTAGCGACCTCGAAAATCACAAGATAATTTTAATCATAAACAGCTATGCCGGGGTTGAAGCAAGAGAGAAGTCGCGGGCTATAACTGGTTGTATCGCTGTTTTTTTTGCTGTCTAGCACGCTTTTCCGGACTATCGATTTCTTCACAGTGCAGAACACGTAGAAATTTCTTCAGAAAAAGAACCTTGTATACATCGTGCTCATCGATTATTGCGTCGAAAAGAGTGTATAAGTCATTTAGGAGGTTGACTACCTGAAAGAAAACTGTACATGTCATCATCAAAGAATCTCGTGATTCTCCTAACACGACCTTGGCGTGCAATAAGTACCTATTATTAATACAAAGAGCGCTCCTCTGTCATCATAATCGCTGCTATCACGAGCATTCATGGCAATTTTTTGAAACTTTCAAAAAATTTTCCGCATTGGTTCCGCAGTAAGGCATTAGGCCTACCGCGGAGCGCGAGCTCATGTTTGGCTACGCGAAGCCTACGTGACCATGCGAACAATTAATTCCAGCGACAGTTAAGAAAATGGCGGTTGAGCTTTAATCCCTGGGAAGTTTCCCGCCTGTTATGTGATTTCTGGTCTTTGTACTCCGGAGTGGTATAAAAGGGTTTCCCGCCTANGACGTGATTTCGAGAACTTCAGGTGGGGTATAAAAGGCCCTGCACGTGAGTCGAGTACTTTTTTATACTTTGCGTTTCATTAACCGTTCCGTGTTGTTTGTTGTTTTTAGTAAATTGTTCTGCAACTATTCGGACAGCGATCACCCAATGCGACCTCGACAGAGGTATATAACTAATTAGTCTTATATTATCTATTTATAGTATCCGCGTGGCCTATTTTAAGGCCCGCATTGCGAAACATTGCTGAGACATTGATTTCTCTGCCTAAGGCGCCAATATCCTTCGGATTCTGGCTAATGAAAAGTTCAATTTTGTCATGGTATGCTGCATGCTTTCCAACTCAGCCACAACGCAGGTGAACCCTTCCAAAATATCTGCTCCGCGTCGCGTCCTGGTGCTCTCTCCCGTCGCACGGTGGCGAAATGGTACGATTGGCTTCGGTCATGGTAACTACGATTCAGGGAACGAACTACAACCAGGAGGGCCATCTGTCGTGGAATTGTTTTGCCTGCGCTATGTGATCGAAATGAATCGTTGCAAAATGATCCGCTCTCGTTTGATTACACTAAGCTGTTCCAAAGATTTGGCAGACATAAGTAGGTCTTCGTCCCCAAAACATCCTTGAATTTCTGTTAGCGGATTACCCATGAGCTGATCAATTACCGAAACAGAGCGTACGTGCAGTACTGCGTACAACGTCTCTACCGTTCCCGCTAAAGGGACTGGTTGAAGAGCGTTATTACTGGGGATGATAAGTGGCGCCTCTATAATTACAGGCGGAGGCATCAGTGGCTGGATCCATCAGCATTGGCTGAGTCGTCTGTGAAATAAGATCTACCAAACAATGAGGAGCTCCGCCGTCCCAACGTCATGGATGAGAGAGAAGTCTGCTGCAGTGAACTGCGATCATTAGCGGGAAAGCTTCACCTGAGCTTACCGGGGCTAGGCAAAGTTTACCTGCTTCACAACATTGCGGGACCACATGTCTCAACGACGACACAGCTCAAGATTCTGAGACTCGACATGGAAATTCTTACGCATCCTCTCTCCCATACAACCCTGACCTGTCGCCTTTCGACACCACCTAATCTTGTACTTCGGCATCGATCTTGCGGCTACGGATACAATCTCCCGAAAGATCTCGAAGATGGACTCATCCCTTTTCCCACTCAAAATCATGACTTTTGGGGGCGAGACATCCACTCGTTCCCTACTCTTCCCTACTGGCACTCTTTAGCAACAAGTTGTTGATAGCGATGATGCGAATGTTCTTCATTGATAATGTTTTTTTAGATGGGGGCAAATAAAAAGAAGTTCGAAATACACAAGAAGTTTTGAAAATTTTGAGACCAACTGGATGCTCATTCACCAAACTTTAACCAATTTCGATGAACCCGGAAAAATTTCGAGAGATGGTAGGTATTAGGACTTCGGAAGAGTCTTTAGTTCCAGGAAGTGAACCGTGGACATCTTCTTTTCAATTAATTTTAGGAAATGAGCCCGACCCGAAACATCCCATTTTTGTATGGCCACTCTCATGTCTTCCAGCTGAAAACCTTCAAATCTACATGAAAAAGGGCTTTTCGATAGTCAATACCTGCAGCGGTGTACATCTACTAGCCAGCGTTGTGAAAGAAACAACATCAGAAAAAAATAGGGTGACGCAATCGAATGTCTCCGGTTCCACTGACTGACCATGTTTCAGTTTTTCAGCGACTTGCCTAGAAAAAAAAATAGCTGGGAAACTGTACTTACCGAATAGGGATCACTTTTTCGGTTCACATTCCGGTAGCAGAATCGCTGATACAAAAGAGAACTTCACACTGATCAAGTAAGCCTATCAAAAAACTCAACCATGCATAGGTCAGGTTTCATACTTTTGAAAAGTTTTCTGGTCAGGAGCTAGAGCAAATATTAGTCACATTTATGCTATCCGTTTGAAAAATGTTAAAAAATGTTAAAAAATGGGAATGTTATCGGTGCTACTTGAATTCAAAGGCGCGAATAAGTAATTTTTTTAAAGACAAAAGCGGTGTATTCAGCGAAATATTGCTGAATTTGGAGAGAATCAAGAAACCGACTTGGGCAACATGCGATAGAGTAGAATATCGCTCTTCTTCTTCTCCTCTGTCAATTCTTTCATTCGAGATTGCACCTGTGAATCGCTTGTTAGCACTACTGGTTGACGAGTCTTTTCAAGAAAAACAGATTTGTGAAAAATCACCTCATCTTCTAAATTCGAAGCGTACTGTTCGAGTACATTGAATACATGATCCATAAGATTCGAAGACCTGAAACTACATTTTTTCGTCTTTGAAACCTGTAACTTAAGCACAGTTAGTGTTCAAATATCATACACTAGCATCTTGCCGCTAGATAGGTGTTACTGCAAAATTAGGCCTTCTAACGCCCTTTTACATATTAGTAGGATTTTGTAGCAGGACGTTGAACTACAATGCAAACTTAGTCGCCTGCACTTCTTCCGTGAATAAAGCTCAGAGGCACAAATCACGTTAAAAATAGCTATTGAGATTTCTTCCTTGGATGACCCTCAAGGATAGCCTAAGAGACGCTGTCGGACCAAAAAACGGCCAAGATCGGGCCGTCTGACTGTGCCTTTAAATAGGATTTCCTCCGTCTGGCACTTTCCCGTAGACTTAAAGAAGTTGGCTCAGTAATCAATTCCCTCTGGCGCCTGGCTAAAAATTGTGGCTAATGAACGCACAACTTATCTGAATATTAATTTCTAAGTTAACAGAGTTTTGCACCACTTGCCCCTTTATTTGGTGTGCATGATATGCTTGAGTAGGCCGCAGTAATAGTTCAATTGATCTCTACCACAGGTCATCGTAATTGGGTAGAAACTTTGAAGAGATCCCAACCATGCAGCAAGAAGGGTACCAATCCGTTTCTCTTAAATAGTGTCGTTTACATCACTCTCAAGCCGACCTTTCCACAAGAGCTGTCGGATTTGGACGACATTTGCACCTTCTTCTCGATGTTCGATGTTACGTGCGAGTGCTAATAGCAGTCGCCGACAGTCACCCCCATGTCTTCTTATTTGAAATGAGACATGAAATAATCAAAAGCGGACGAAGTGAAACGTTTAGGCGAGATGATACAGCCTTGTACTTTGGCGATAATTTTTTGAAAAATAGTGACCTTATAAACATGAAGTTGTTTTGGAGATCCCAGTCACTCTTAATTATAGTTTACGAGCGTTTACTAGACTGTGTGTAGAAAAGTTTGACGAGCCAATTATATCGCTGGATAACGTGCTTCTTCTATGAAGTGGTGATGTCCCTTTCTCCAAGGGGGTGCCACTTGAAACTGCTCACTCTGTGGGCTGAGTTGAACGCGGATATTTGAACGCAGGCGATAGGTGCCCATGATAGATCGCCTTACGAACATCCCCTCACATTAAAAATCTTAATGGCAGTTCATGAATCTCGATGTAATGCTATGGCGTCTGCGGGAGCTGACGCACTTGCAAATCCCGGTGAGCGTGAAAAGTATGCGAGGGTCTTTGAAGTAAGGACGACATCGGGGAGCAACAAGGTTAGTCCAAAAGTCCCGCAACGTATGGTTAACCCGCCGTCAAATGTTGTTACGCTAAAGGGGAGCTCGTATAGTTCGCGGAGGCTCGCGTCGAGGAACTGATCTCTGTGCGGTGAGAAAACGTGGTGATTCTGCTGCATCTCGATGGACATTGGCCACGGCTTCAAAGTCTTTCACTGCATTGGTCCAAAAACTACCAACGGCGTTGGGATAAGTGTCTCTGAATGGTTCCATGTTTCGATAGTAGGCGTGGAGCGCTCTGATGACCCCTTACTGATCATTGTAGTCATCGAACGCCAGAAATACTATTTCTTCTCAGCGTGTGCTCCACAGACTGGATACTCCGAGCAAGCCATATAGTCAAGGACGAATTCGGAACTTGCTAGACGAAAAGAAAGCTGAAGTATTGTTACAAGAAGCAGCAGATGCGCGGGTGACTTCACTGGTCATGTAGGCACTACTAAAGATGATTATAGCTGTCATGGTGGTTTTGGTTATGGGTCACGTAATATTGATGGCGAGCGAATTATTGAATATGTACATAGATTCGCATAATCTCACCATTCTCATCAAAAACTTGTAGACGTGACACACATTCCGCCACTTTCTAAAGCGGTGAAGATAGAACAGAAATTGATTTTGCCTTTGACAGTCACCGCGATCAGGGGCTCGCGACATCATCGCCCGCACTCTATTGCCGGCGTAGCGACTGTCGAGGAAATGTCGGCTATGGAGAGGATGAAGTCAGGCAAAACAATCGGTGCTGACAACTTAGCGGCGGACTTGTGGAACTCGAAATGCTGGAATCCTGCAGGGTGGTTGACGGACTTCTACAACCAGGTCGTTGCAGAGGAGAAGGTGCCTAAGAGCAGGCAACAGAGCACGTATATTCCTATTTGGAAAAAGAAGGGCAGTCCTGGAGACCGCGCTTGCTACCGCGCATTTCGTGTGGAGAGTCGTATCCGCGACATCATCGAGCCATAATAAATGGAGGCCAGCGGTACAAATGGTCACGCTGTACGCATTGCATGTCGACTGGGCTGCTTCTCTGTATTCCTAGCAAGGATTAAGGAGGTAACCGAGGCCGAGCAGGTTGCTCAAACACCTATAAATACGCCCTAGTCTTGCTAACATCGGATATGACGTGGGGGGGGGGTACGTTCTACGCAAGGAAATCATGACGTCACCTTTAGAAACCGGAGGTTTGGAAATCTTCGTAATCGAAATATATGGACCGTCTTTTAGAAACCGGAGGTTCGGAAATCTCCGTAATCGAAATATATGGACTGTCTTTTCGTCTGCTAATATACAGTACCGGTCAGTGAAGTATGCGGTTTCACTTTTCCAAACATAACTTCCTCACAACTCAAGCTTTCTGCTAGAAACTCAAACAGTAGAAAGCTCAGGCAGTAGTAACATTATACTGTTGTAATCCAGCAGTATAATGGTCCAGCAGCACATTTCTAAGCAAAACTGGCGCTTTATTTTCAAATCGCCCGCCAACACACATTTCCACCATCTATAACTGGTGAGTTTTTATATTGAAAATTTCGGGTGGTTCTTAATGTTTCGAGTGACGTCATGCACCTACTACGTTATTAAGGCTATGGCAAGGCATTCCGCAAGACATTAATTTGCGGCAAGAGCAAGTTGATGCCATAATTAGGAGCTTCCACGGAGGCTTAACATCAAGGCAAGTTTCGGAAATTCAAGTAGTGTCAATTAG